GTAATCCCCTTTTGTGTCTTGCTGTAAAGCAAGGGAAGAAAACACAATAGACATATGAGGAAACAGTCACAAAATATGAAAGTATATGCATTGTATTCTAAACCTGTGGGACAGACTACGTTTCACAGTTGAAGCCTTGTCAGCCTGGAAGAGACTATCTAGTCTGAGTTTTACTTATGTGTGAACTGAAATTATTTATCATTCTTGCAATACAAATGCAAGGCCAAGAAGGGAAATTTTGGTATGAAAAAGATTAACACAAAAAAGGAAAGCTGAAGGACTCTATTCTGTTCCTTCTCACTGATCACTGCAAAATCATGCATCAAGTTCACTATTTTGAAAATTTGCTTATAATCTAAAATTGCCGTCTTCAGGAAAAGACTGGCTTAAGATTTTGACTCATCTACACAAGGAATAAGGTACCATACGCTGTTGTGAGGGTGGGTAGAAGACTAGTTTTTTAACAGATGCACAAGCTCTTTACCTATGCCCCCAGTTAAATAAAACCTAGCACCTATAGCTTCTGCCCAATTACAGGAAAGGACAAAAACCACTGTAGCTAAAAAGCCTACTCCCTGGGCACTGAAATTAAAGGGAGCAGCAATTTAGATGCTCTATTTTCATTCAGCAATCCTGTTGTTTCTTCTGGTCTGAGAATAGGAACAGGTGAACAGAATTTTCCTTTATAATACATCAGCTTATTGCACAAAGCCTGCATATACCGTCAAATGGCTGCCAGCAGTTGTACCAGATGTAGACTGTAATGTTAAAGGTGGATTTTTCAATAGTGCATGGACAGTAACATACTGTTTTCACTGCAGCCTCTAAAACACCTCCCATGAATCCTAATGATACACATAATCCAATGAAGACTGCTACAAAGGTCCATACAATTGATATAAAAAGAAAGCTGAAAAACTTACCTGGATGAAATAATAGAGAGATTTTCCGTATTTCCTCTTGAATTCACTCTTAATTTTCAGCATGTCAACCTCGCAGCGGGAGACCATAATCCTGATCAGAACCTTGTCGCGGGTTCCCTTGCCCTACAAGCAGATACACATTTATAACTCCAATAGCTGAAATGTATAAAAGGCCACTGTACCTATCAGTGAGATGGCAAACTACAGGCAACTGAAATGTAGCAATAAAAGATACAATGAATTAAATCTTCTAACTAAGGTCATTATTATGATCCAGGAATTTCAGCATGAACACACCTTTCTCATCAGCAGTGGTTGACCAACTTCCAGTCACAAATCTAGCTACTTAGACTGTAAGCAGCAGTTCTGCTTCACCAGGAAGTCTTCCTGGTATTGCCTAATGCCTGTCACCAGGTGTTTCTCTCATCCCTTTTCTTGAGAAAATGTTTTGAAGCAAATTTAGTATCTTATTTTGACACTTCAATAAACAGCTTTTTCTGCTATCAGCTCTTCGTTACCTGCAAAATATGTGTCTAACTTTGTTAATTATAATCAACTGATCTAATACAGATCATTATTATGAGACCTTTCCCTGTATTTCCCTATACCAGATGCATCTGAATAAACGGTCTAGGCTCATAACTGTTAAAGAGTGCTTTTGAACAATACTAAGTCATTGTTAATTTATTCACATGCCAGTCACACATCATACGAATAAAAGTGCCTAAGGAATCAGAATTTGATGAAACAATGGCAAGAAAAAAAAAAAATGAGTAGAAAGAAAGAGCACTCTTCCTCACCTTCATGGAATCATACAGTCTGTCCGCAAAATACAGCTGCTTGTTCTGAATGCACTGGACTGAAGAGACAGATAAGGACAGTTAAACATCCTGCCTATACATGGCAGAACACAGAATCTTGGGAGTCATTTTCAAAACCTTGATAAGTAGTCAAAATAAGGTTTTCAGAGAAAGTTTCTCCAAAAGGGGACATAGAGGAATTATTTTTACCCGAGCTGTTACTTAGAAGTTGTTTGGCTAAGCCTGTGATTGAACCACAAATGCTTACAATCTGAGAAAGCATTTCCCTCTGTCGCTAGTATAATTTCAGAATGCTAGCCCTCCTCCCCACACACAATTCATCCTTCCACATCTATAAGCAAAAGCTTTTCTGAAAACACGCATTGTATGCTAATCCATGAGAAGTCTCCCTTTCAAGGCTGAGCTCTGTTTATTCTCCATTTGCATTCCAGAGGTCTCAGTTCATCCGTAGTCTGAAATGGATTTTCCTCTTAAAAAATTTCCTCTTAAACTTGGTGAAATCCTTATCATCTTAATCTTATGCCACAGTACCAGCCTTACACCCTGCCTCCCCATTTCAGAGAATTCAGTGCCAAATCAGCTCTTTTATTAGCCTCTAGCATCCTCCACTGCCCAGCTTCTCTCTCACACACACACACTGTTCTCTCTCCAGCCTACGTCTATATTGAATACTTAATGTGTTCAGCTACAGTTTGAAACTTTTTATTTGTTTGGGGAAACAAACACTAAGCCTCTGTATCAAACAAAAGTGGAACTAACAACAGATCACAAAACACAGGCATTTTTATTTTCATCTAGAAAGCAAGGTTTATGTTTTGCAGAGGACAAATACATACTACTTCTCAATACCTGCAATATCCTAAAATACACTAGTGGATCCAATAATGCCAGCACGTCCAGTGTATTTCTCGTCCAGCAACACAGAGGAAGCTGGGCCCTACCGTTATCATGACACACTGCAAGAGCATTGAAAAGATCCTATCTAAAGATAGTCTTTACTTCAGGGTAACTCACCAAGATTAAGGAAGGCATTCTCCAAATCTCCTTTAACTTCCTTCTTGATGCTCTCCAACATATCATATGGGCTGTAGCTCTTGTACCTCTCAAACACTATCGCAAGAAAGAAAACAGGTGAATCAAAACCAGACCAAGAACTGGTAAAAGTAACTACCCAAATCACACACACACAGTAATGCAGATACACATGATTAAACAAATATCTGTCCAAGTCCTTCTGAGAAATTTATCTTAAGTACAGCCTAAGTTTGTCAGCTGCTAGTAAACTTCCCATGCTATGGCCTTTTTGTTTTCCTTGAACACCTCCATAATCTGGTAAAATACCATCTTAATCCTGTACGAGTAGTTTTCGAAACAACAGTGATTTGGGCCCTGAAGAGTCTTCAAATGGCTTTCCCATGTGCTTCTTACAGCAATATCAAGGCTGCTTTTGAGTCTTCACTGTCAGATTTAAACATGTGATATAGCTAAGCTACCCTAGGACAGAGGGAAAAGCTGAAGGACTTCTCAAGGTCTCCTCTAGCCATGTTTTCTACATTTGTAACATTCTTGTTCTCAGTGTATGCGACATATAATTGAGCATTGTTACACCTGTGTAAAAAAGAGCTTTACACACATTCAAAATGTGAGATTAACACATCCACAGAAATAACTATGTTTTTTGAAAAAAATTAACAGCTTGGACACGAATTAAGATTTACAAGATCTCCCTATGTTTCATGAGTGCTTTTCACACTCATTTCAATCATATCTGTGACAAAATAATTACCACTTTGGTAGAATTTTCTCTTATAGGAAAAAAAACCCCTGTTGCTTGAATAGTACCTTTCTGCAGGTGGGGGACACTTCTTTCAGTCATAATGTTGATCCACTTGGGGACATCAGTTCCCTTTCTCTTCACACCAGCATCATAGAGCTCCTGGGGTTAGAATGAAAAGCAAAATCATGAAAATCAGGAGTTACACAAGAAACCATCACAAATATATACAATTTCCTTACTGGAAAACAAGCACTATTGGAACTGTCTCAGTGGGAGAAACACAAAAGGACATATGGTTGGGCAGACCACCGGGACAAGATCTACGGATCTAATCTGAAACTAAGAGTAATTACTTTGTATTTACCTCTATCTACAGGTTTTACTCTGTATTTAGCTCTGTTTACCTCAGCAGAACTGCTCTTGACAGATAAAGATGTAATAAGACAGATACAGATGTAATAAACAAGCATTAGCAGCCACTAAGTTCAATGATACTTCTCTCAATCTTACATAATTACTTGGTTGCAACCAGTCTTCGCAAGGTATGTGTTTCCTTTTGTTAAAGCCTCTCTTTCTCAGTATACCCAAGGGAAATACCAGAGAGCTTCTGTATAGGTACTAGAGGGTAAGTAGCCTGTGAAAACTGATAACTGAAGGCATCAGGACTGCAAGTGGCAGATACCTTGACAGCATGCAAACATGACTGCAAGACAACCTGAAATATACACACCTACTTTCGTAAGTGCTTCTCACTTCTCAGTATTTGTACTTTCAATATCCCCAAAACCTTGATCAACTTAAGACATTTAATGGTCATTACCAGCACTTACCCTAGCATCTTGGTCAATCAGCTCATAATCAATCACAGAGGTATCTTCACACCTTTTGCCCTTCAAACAAGGATAGCAGTATTTAGAAGAGGTTTAGTAAGCAGTTTGCTATATGCACATTTGACATTCGAGTATTTTTTTCCCCCGAAAGATAGTGAAAATACAAGGAAATTTAAAAATGAATCAGAAATCCAATTGGTTTACTGGCAGCCATCAGTCAGGTACCAAAGGGCAGGCACATTAGGAAAAAGTGGAAAAATATGAACAGACCTACCTTGGCCAGGGCAACCATTAGCTTGCGGAAGTCACCAGATGTGTCTGATATAATGTCCTTTTCCAGTTCTGTCTTGTACACTAGAAAACAAAAAATTCTCTTCAAGTAAACAGTGTCCTACAAATACTCCTTTACAAGAAGAACAGCTGCAAATTACTGTGTTTTATGCACATAAACAAACAGCTACAATCTAAGTCACATGTGGAAGACAAAGAAAGCAAATGCATGCTTGCATACAACAAAAACAACATTGCTACCAGCTAGTCATGAGAGTTACCATGCAATCAAAGTCTGTCATGGAAAGTTAACAGGAAAGCCTGAGACTATTAAATGAAAGGGAATATTGGTTTAAGCTCAATATCCTCTTAAATCATTCTTAGCTACCAATGAATGTTTGCTTGTTTGATAAACATAGCATTTAGGCCTTCTCCACTCATGGATTTATAACTGGACAACTGCAATTGCAAGTTTAATGCAAAAGACAAAAGCTGTTGTGATAAATCAAAGGAATGCTGTGTGTGATTCTGGTCTGGTGTCTAAACATTTTAATTGCTTTCCAAGTGGTCACACTCTATATTGCTACAAAATCACATTCTCTTCTTTTCAGCAACAACCTCTTTGCTGATACATAGTATTTTTTTTCCTTACCGGCCATGAAGACTACATTGGTTTTGCTTGTCCTTTTTGACTTAGCTAGCACCTTACTAGAATTGCTTGACAACTATTAAGCATTCAGCAATTTTCTACATTTCAGTCTATTTGTGGTAAAGTTCAACTCTGAAGCTCAGGGAAACAAACAGGCGCTGGACAGCTGCACTACTGAATTGCGATAATCCCAACCAGAATGGCCAATATCTACTTATAATCATCTAAGAATTATAGCTTCCATCAGATAACATGTCTTTTCTGGCAGGTCTACCAAACAAACTTACAAGCATGCTTCAGTACATGTCAGATTCACCTACTTACTACTTAAGACACAACTTACATGAGTAGTAAATGTTCTCCAATTTGTTTGCTGACAAGCAACAAGATGAAATTACATAAACACACACAAATTATTCAGGACACCAGTACAAAATAGTATCTTAGGTCCAACTGCCAGAGAATCAAAGCAGATGTTGTGTAAGTGACTCTAATAATCAAATTCAGACTGAGGGGAACTTTTCCAAGTAACTTAATGTAAAAACATACTAAGTTGAAACTTTCGAAGTAAACTTACTTTCCCTGTAGACTCTGTTAATTTCACTAAGCTCCTGATTTGTTCGTGAGCAGATGATTTCAATGAGCGTATCTTCATCAGTTCCCAGACCCTGCAACACATACACGATTCAGTTAGGCACCAGAAATGAACATGCATGCTTGAATGGTTTAAGAATATTTTACAGGCATTTCCTTTCTCCCACTCTATCAGTTTCACAATCATTCAGGGATATTTTTTGCTAACTGCGTCTGAGAAAACCCAGACAGAACATGCCAAATACTTCTCCAATAGCTTTGAATCCTGTAGATAATATCTCCGGGCAATGTGCAATTTGCTGTGTCTGTAACACTCAGTGGCCTCCCCACCAGCATAACTGGATGAGATCAACTTATCCTGGCCCATGTGTGACTGTTTTCTGTCCATTGAGAGCACAAGAAGAAAACCCGATTCTTCGCATGCAAATGGGCGACAATCAACTTGTTCTTCCCTGCTTTTCTTCCCCACCTCCCTCCATACAACTCCTCCACTGTAAATGCAAAGCCAAGTATGACACCGTCATTAGCTTTGGCCTTGTCTCCAAGTCAGCAAAGATTTAAGCATGTTCTCAATTTCCAGCTAATGAATAGCCCCTCTTGAATTGTCCATATTTTCCAGGTACTTCACAATGCACAAATACACATGAAGCAATATTACTATCAGCTATGTTAATATTAAGAAATAAAAATGTATGTAGTACGATAAACTAAATATTCAGATTTTATATTTTTAACAAGCTGAATGAATTGAGAGGTCTCATATAATATTTCAAAGCCACTTTTGTGATCAAGGTCAATGAATAATCAATACTTTGAACTAAGCTGCATTACTACTGCTTAAAAAGTAATAGCACTATAACAAAATTGCAAACTACATCAAAATGTATCAGCTATTAGTTAAACCTTAGAGTAACTCAGATACTCGAAAATAATGTGGCTTGATCAATGTGCTCTAAGCCTTGTTCAATTATTTTGTATAGATAAACAGCCAAATTAAAAAGAAAATACTAAAAATTGCTAACAACACTGCAATATTCTTGCTCCTGGAGAAAGACAAGAAATTGAAGGGCATGCTCAGAAGACTAACTTGGATGAGCTGAGGATGCCTCTCTCTCCAGTGAGTACTAAGGATGTCTGTGTTACTAGTTGGTAAAGCCATCTGGCAGCCAGATGCCTCCATAATTTGAAAAGAAACTTTTTAAGAAATAGACTCCACTGGTGATTTTTTCATTCTGTTTTGTTTCTTACCTACCAATGAAGTATGTTCATGCTAATCTCATTACCCTCATCTTCCAGCATCACCAGCAGACAGAAAAAACCCTCTTATGCCTCCTGTTAGGATGCTGTTTGTTAAGCCCATCTGTAACAGAATGTCATTTTGTATGTGGCAAAAATGGGCATGGTTTCCACAGGACTCCAAGAGGAGTCTGCTGGGTAACATCTCGGGAAAACTTCTCATGCTGCAGTCTTTCACATGTGGAAAATGGAGGTAATTATGTAGAGAACTACCCTCTTGGAAAAAGCATCTCTACTGAAGGAAAAAAAGAAAGAGGACTAAAACCAAGCAATTTTATAAAAACAGCTCACAGCTAAGAGAATTAGGAAAGCTTTCCACAGAATGATTCTAACAGGTATCTGGGGAAGAAATGAAGCCTAAAAAAATTTAAGATTTTCTAAATATTTTTTAAGTATTTCATAAGAATGTGTACCAGAAAAATAATTAACTCCTCAATGATAACTTCGCTTTACCCAGCTTTGATTCTCATGTCATAGCTTACTACACTCTATGTATCAAGTCAAACTTAAGCTCTGGCAAATTCAGAACATTAGTCTAGGTGCTTGGGAGTTGGGAATAGCTGACCTATGAAAAGAATAGAATATTCTACATTTGTGGCTACTCTGAGGTAATGGCTTGGTCTTTGGGCTGTCAATACAGCATAAATGCTATTATAAGTATATGGTCATCCTAAATACATAAGATGTAAGACATTTTAAAAAAAAAAAAAAAAAAAAAAACCAAAACAAACCAAATCCAACAAAAAAATCCAAATCAAAGTAATCTGGTTCACAGTAAATTATGGATAGCCTCTACTTAAACCAGAAGAGGGCAGCATCTGATTAGTCAAAGAAGGGATTTGGCCGATAATTGAAGAGTTACCACCTCCATACTGTTGGGTTTTTTTGGGTTTGGGGATTTGAGGTCTTTTTGGGGGGGGGTGAGGGGAATGGAAGGGGTGGTTTTGTTCACTTGTTTGTTTTTTAACTCCTTTTTCATAGTCTGGAGAAATTAATTAATTTTTTGTTTGTTTGTTTTGTTCTGAATTTCAACAGACATATTTTAACACTTGTTTTTTTAATTATTAAAAAAACCCCAACAACCCAAAAGATCAAGAACATTCAGAATTTAAGCAATGATTATAAATACAAATTCCCAAACCTTAGTTTGCTTAGAAAGGTGGCATGAGCACCTCTCAGTCTTGTTTCAGCGGCCTGCAGAGTGGTTATTTCTAAACCAGCAATCTGTTCCATCCTTGCCTGTGATTGTAGGGGACTGAACACAGTGACTCAATGCTGCGCTGTGTCTCCAAAGACTGCTTTTGACACCCCATCTTCCTCCTCCTGCTCCTCGTGTTCTACACGGAGGCAGGTCTGGTACAAGATGCTCTTTCGAGATCAGTGATATGACCCAGTAACTGGAAACTACTGTTTGAGCCTATAAATGCTAGCAAAGGATTTAATGGCTCCACCTAACAGCTGCTCTCTTAATGTTTTCTTGCACTATGAACCTGTATATTGTTTTTAAGAGCAGTCAGCAAAGCAGCAACCAGCCAGAGTAGCCTATCAGTTATTCCTGACCTGATGAAAATTTTTTTTCCTTAAAGAGAAGATTTAATTAACAGTTGAAAAATCACATGGTTCCAGAATTTCTCTCATTTTGGATGCCTAGCAGCTGGATACTTAAATTGTAGTACTAAAAAAAAATATAATCATCAGTGGACACATTTGAAAACTGTGGCTTTGGATATGAAGTCCATACTCATTCTTGAGACAGCAACATCAGACTAACATACTTAAATTTCAAAGCTTGTTTACCTTCATGGCAGCTTTCAATTCAGAGGCATCATACTGTGCTGGTGTCTTCAGCAAGCCCAAGATCACTGCCTCCAAATGACCCGATAAAGCAGACTTGAGTGCTGCAGAAAGTTCCTGTAAAAAAAGAGGGATGATGGAATAGGAAAAATTAAAGCTCACTTCTGGTCTCCAGAGAATTTAGCCTGTTGTGCTTTAAGCCTCCAAGCCTGCAAGTGTTTCTTACACAATTGACAAGGAAACAGAACATAAAGCGCTCTTCTTTTGCGAAAGCCTAAGAAAGAAATTAGGGCAAAGGAATTTTTTCTCATCCTTTGAAAATAAGAAATCCACTGGTGGCTGACAAAGTGCTGGGAAGCATAGTGCAGACGCATCTGAACAGCTCCACTCCAGTCCTGAAGCACTGACACTTTATTGGAGCTAATAAGCACAGATGGATCTGAGTTTGACTCCCTGCGGTCAGTGCTTCTACATCATACTCCCACAGTTTTCCCAGTAGCACTGTATTATTTGTGTTTTTCCTATTATCCCAGCCCTTTACTAGCTGAGACACTGGAAAATTGACTGCACAGTTATTCCACTGTACAGGCCCAGTTCCCAAACAGCTAGTGGAAGAGAAAAAAATCATCCCTGAGCACAGAAAAATCATCCCTGTCTTCAAGGAAACTATCAGGAGAGTGTACCAAAGTCTCTATTGATAATTGTCAATCAATCCTAGAGAAAGAAACTGTTAGGTATGTTCCATTCACAGGATGCATGCAAATCTGTAGCAAATAAAGTCAGAGGCATGTCCTCTTTTACGGGTTTCAGATGCAACGTGAACAATGCTAATTATGAGCTTCCTTGTAGTGTAGTTACAAAGTTGAAATCCCTGGGATCAAGCCCAGTGTTCACGCAGATCAACGTATTCCCTAAGCTGAAGTTAAGTCTGTAGCATTCAGAAGAGAATCGCTGCATTTCAGTTGCTGCTTTCTACACTAACAATTTGTGAGCTTGAGGGACAGGGGAAAAGGGGGTAGATAAAGTGACCTCAGTAAAATTGCAGAGAAGTTTGTAGCAGAGAGGTAAAGTGCCAAGACACTTAGTTCGTTTCCAGAGTCCCATTTAACCCAGGGCACTAATATATGCTAATACTGTATGCACTTACTGCATGGATTGACGAACATAGTGAATGGGGGTTTTAGGCAGTTAACTGCTTTAGTTTAAGGAACATTTTAGTACAATAACTCAGTTTTGGATACAATGTTCCATCATTTATTTGTGTGAAAAACAGGTTCTTCAGACATCAGCTGAAACAGCAAAGATACTGCATATCTCTATAATAAATTTTAAGACAACATGAATTCCAATTAGCTGAGTGAAGCGTTTGTGATCTTTGCACTTTGGTGTGAAGGCTGAAGGAAATATAAATCAATACAGCAGGATTTACCAAAATAACTCCAACAAAACACTTCAAACTGCACCAAGCACCTGCCCTCATATTAGCAGGCTTCTGGAGAAATGAGGTCTTCTCCCCCTGCCAGAAAAGCAGGGTCTCCCCTCCACCATTCTTTGCCATGGCTAGGAGTGCTCTAAGAGAGAAGTGGGAGGCAGATAACTGACAGATATCATTAATTTATAAATAGCAAAGAGAAAAGGTTTTAGTAAGTGTTCCAAATGAACATCTGGATATTATCAGTTCATTTCAAAGTTAGAGATTATTGGTGGCAGTTATGACTGACAGACACATATGAAGACACACATGCAGAACCCCCAGTATTCATTGGTAGCTCCATTAATACTGGTGATGGGGAAAGATTGCATGGATCAAACACCATTCCTCAAGATTACCAAGAGTTTCCATTAGACACAGCTCAACTCAAAGGAATGAAAATAGAGGTAGATCTGTGACTTTTTAAAATTATAATGATCTACTGAGAAATCCTGCAACACACAAAACAAGTAGTCTAATACAACACAACACACAGCCAAAGAAATCTGCACAACCCATTGCCAAAGAAAATCATGAGATACTGTCCCTAGAAGGCATACCTACACATCTTTTCATATCCCACTTCCTCATCTCCTGCCATTCACTTGTTTCACTGCGTGGTTTCTACAGACTGTTTTACTCTTTGGCACTTGTTACACTTGATAAATTCAGTTTGCTCTTGGGTCACAGCAAGGAAAAAAGGTGAAAGAGAAACAAAGTCGCAGATTTTCTTGACTGTGCTTTTTTTGTGGTCATGCAAAACTTTTAACAAAGCTTTAAGTGACACATTTCACTACTATGGTCCACTTATATGCACAATTCTCCCAGTGCCCACAGGGCGTGACTGCCAGGGTGCAGACGTGTGCACACATGTATGCATCCAACTTGTGCATGCTTATGCATGTGCCTATATTAGCCATGCATAAAAGTTGGTGAATTTCCAAAATTTAACTCTAGATTTACATTTGGTTTCAGATGAGCATTCTGGGCTGCTATTGGAGGACTACCATTTGGGGTCTGGCAAACCTGAAAGAGATACATTCATCATTCCTAACTCTATACAAGTTTCCTCTTTTTCATGGGCATAATACTTCAATTATGGTAAGATTCTGAAAACTTCAAAAGTCAAAAGAACAGCTCTTGCTTTCCAGATAGCAAGACCCATTATGCAGAATTCTGCACACATTTTACAGACTTCTCTCCATCAATAGATCAGTACCTAAGGTATTTCTGACAGGATAATATCTAGTGATAATTCAACTCTTATATCACTTTGTTCCATATCTGCACCATTCGTAGCACAACGGACTGCAGCCTTTTCTCATTTAAGCTAGCTCTGTGAACAGAAACAGAATACTTTCCTTATGCTGAGCTGTCTTAAAAAAAAAAAAGCCAAACCCAAACCAAAACCAGTCCCCTAAAGCATCTGCCTTTCATCTTTTCCTTCAAACTGAGGCATTTCATGTCAATGGCTCTTTGCTATTGTTTAGCGTATTTCACCAGGGAATCCTGTGGCTGGCTGGCTGGCATGTTACCCATCATGATTTCTGGAGGTGCTAGGAAACCACCATCTCCAACAGATTTCAGTCCCAGTTGTGCATACTCAACAAATTTGGAAGTCCCGCCAGTCCTAAACTGTGACAGCGTGGACAAAGTAGATGCATCTTTAATTTCAGTGAAAAAATAAACCAAACAATATGTATCTCCAGTTTACACCCAGTTAACTGTGAAACACACAAGCCCTGAAAAATCTAACTATCCGCAAGAAAAATATTCAATACTTGGTATTTCTTCATATTTTGCTACCTTTTTAGTTCTTCTCTGATAGGCGAAAGCAATATCCTGCCTCTGTTCATTGCTGCGGTTTGTCAGGATGTTGATGATGGTGACTTCATCCACACCTACAAAGACATAAGACAAAGAGTTAAAGAGGCTTTCTTGTTACTGTTCTCTTTGTATTAATATGTTCTCCAACACCCAAAACATAGTGTATGTGCTGGCTGGAGCAGACCTCAACAGCTCTCATTAGTTAGTATATGTCATGTCCTGGCCTTGGAGAAAGGGCAACAAATTACAGCCCAAATTTTTGATGTGATGCAGACCTTTGTGTACACAAGCATGTACACACCTCAACAAAGTCTAGTGTGTGACCAGCTTTGCTACTTCTGTTTTCTGCTTCACTTGTGTGTCTGTGTACTTCTGTTCAGTCACTCAGTATTCTGCAAAAAGTTGCTCAAGAACACAGGCTTTAAAACTGACTTGAACTTGTACTTACTAAAGCCTGCCCTGTCACTTCAGTAGAGTGTTTTCAATTAAGCCTTCTTAATAAAGCAGGTATATTTTTCTATTTAACCCACATTCACTTAACAATCACTCCAAACATAAAAATGGGAAAACAAAGCAGTATATTTCATTCTCTCAGCAGCTCGGAGGCTCAGAAGACAGAAGGGTTTTTTGACACTGGAAGAACTATGTATGTGCCACTTTTTTTGAAATCATCACTCGAAGATCCATGCTGTGTTTTAACTAGCATGCCTAGAGGACATGGATGCTCAAACACCCTACCTATCTTTTAAGTAAGTGAACTACATATCAGTAAAAGTTTAGTTTTAAGTGAAGTTTTCCAAATCCATGCACTTAAATGCAAGTGCAGGCTGAATGCAAGGAGATCGTTAAGACTTATTTAAAGTTAAAAGCCAAAGCATTCACCTAGGGTCAGATACTCTGGCTGTCAATAGAACCTAATGTACGCCACAGCTTTAGATCCTGTAGGGGTCATCAATGCAGGTCAGTGCATATAGAGAAAAAGCTTTTAGGTTGTACAGGAAGCAGGATTTCCAGATGTTATTTCCTAGACACAGCTACTTGCTACTCTGTTTTTCCAATGCAGGCAGCATCTTGTGACTTTTCCACTTGCTCCTGCCTCCTGCTACTAACTTGCACTTCAGATTCCCTCTCGTTTTCCCCACTTGCTGCTTTCAAACTGGATTCTCCTGAACTTGCATTCTTTCTTCTCCTGATCACAATTCTCATCTGCAGTTGGTCTTGGCAACTCAAAAGATATCCCAGAACCCGGTTGGACTGGAGGCTCTTGAGCTTCTTGAGATGAACCCGGAGCATCTGACTTATCTCAGTATCCTGTGATAGGGCTCTAGCCCAATGGACATACAATTACCATGCCCTGCAAACATCCATGCCTCTCAAAGCACTCTCTGCAAGGACAACTACTCTTTGTTCACCCACATCAACAGAAAAAAGCCAAACAAGCTGTATTTATACTCCCTTAATTAAGCATTAAAGTTATATTAAGTACTTCCTCTTACTATGAGAGCTTATAGAAAGTGCCCTTGCAAGAAGCCAGTCTCCACAACTCAAAGGAAAATGTTCAGAAATGCAAGCCCCCCTGCCACAAGGTAAAACAGAAGAACTGTTAGTAACAGATACAGAGTGGCCAGGGGAAAGAAAAAAACAAACAAACAAAACAAGAGAGTTGGAGCAACAAATAGGAAAAACAGTGTGGCACACTGACACTGAATGTATCTAAACAGAACTGAAAAGGTCAGGCCAGGTGTACTTAATCAAATGGTAGGTGGTTGAAATTTCCAAAGGCCTGGGTGAGGACACATTAGTGTGCTCAAGTAAAATTTCATTTTTAATTTAATTTTCTCTCTCTGTTTAAAATAGCAAACACAACTATGTTTTTTGTAGGACAATTATAATCTCTTTTTAGAATGCTTTGTAAAAAGACACAAGTGAAAGAATTTGAGCCCCCTTCCCCAATTCTCCAATGCACATTTGTGTCTGTATCACTGAATTCAGCCCCTAGGTAAAACGTCCATTTGTATTTCATGTGCATTGTTGGTTAACCAAAGCCGTCTAGACATGCCATTCAAGCACGGGTGGAGAATAACAGCACAGCTGGAAGTAATGTTCAGATAATAAAGTCCTCATAGCTTATAAATGGATGGACAGAGGAGACAGCTAGAACAGCTCTCATTGTTATGCTCAAATATCAAGCTAACCTATAGCTATGCTGTGTAACCATTTGTTTTGGACTATTTCCAGACTGACTGGATGAAGCTTGGAAGAGGCAAAACTATTTCTAAATAATGCACATCTAATACAGTGCATAATCTTCTGCAACAGAAAGATAATGTATAACTAGTTATTTTTTCTGGTGAGTTGCATGCCAGGTCTTGAAGCAAATAGGTGGCTCTAATCTAGAGGTCAAAACAAGCCCAGAGTTTCAACTCAGGTCTTCCCGTTTACTACAAGTATTATGAATAGCTTCCTTCACATTTGCACACACACCAGTGTAAATGATCATTTTTTGATAAAAAAACCAGAAAGTAAGGACTGAATCGGCAGCTACCAGCAGGACTCAGATCCCTGCCAGAATCCACCTACATTTATTTTCCTTATTACCCAAAGCAATCTCACAGCAACTTGAAATGAAGGACTGCAACAGATACTACAATATTAACCATAGGAAGTGTGAACATTTCAAAAGACCTTTTAGCCCTTAGATACAGAATCTAAAATGATGAGTCAAATCCAAAATTCCTTTCTCCTTCTTCACCACATTTTTCATGATGCAATACTGTACTTGATAGCCTCATGTCCTTAGCTCACGCTGAGGCAGACCTACATCAGTGCTATTATTCACACAAGCCTGGCCTGCAAATGTCAAAAGGCCCTGGAAAGCACCATATGTCTTAGTTACAAATTTTGGTTTGAAAACGTGCTGGATGTACATTTCAGCCATAATCTACTCCTGCACATTTTAAAGCATTCCCATTTTACAAAAGAAAACAAATTCTCCCAGTCCAGAAACGGCCACAGACAGACATGCAGACATCGGGCCTTTCGGCCGATGCAGGGCCATAGCATAAGCCAATGTCTTAAGCTTTCTAATAAATTCTAAATTTAAACCATTCTTGGCATTCAAAAATGGCAAATGACATTTTCAAGTATTATCACAATTGTGATAGATTAGTAGCCCAGAAATTACTGCATCCAAATTTCTTATTCATATGCTTTGTGGATGGAAATATGAAGTTAACTCATTGCTCTGGCATTTAATGGAAAATAAGTGCTTGTACTTCACACTTGGGAATCATGCTGCATGGACAGGATGCTGACTCACATCTGCTGAGGTGGGGTGGAGCAGGAGAGCAGCTCAAACATTTTTCTTTGCTGTTCACTAAAATCTCTGGAAGTTTCAGGGTAACAAAACAAAAGTTTACTTCCAAATTTATTCTGGCTGAGCAGATTTTATCAGTGCATTTCTATCAATGGGCAACTGAAAATTAGACATTGTGGCTCACAATTTTTTTAAAAACAAAAAAATTCCTTGCAGATGGAAATGTATTTGATGGCGGGGGTGGGGTGGGGGAAGTAGATCTTAAAAAAAAAAACCAAACCCCTCTGATTAATGACAACTCTCATTCTAAAAGAGGCAATCTGTTGCATTGGTAAGATCACAGTGTTACGGCTCAATCAGCAAAAAAAGAGGAAATTGATATAACCAAAATGATCACTTAAAGAGTTTTTAATTTTTTAGTTTAAAAGCCATGGGCCAAAACAACAGCACCAGCATTGTCCTGAACGAAATGGATGATATGGACAGTCACTTAACTTTCTAGGACAAGGTGAGAACAGAGCTAATGTACTTTCATTTTGCAAGACCTGGCATACATTCATTCAGATCATTTACTGGAAGTCTGTTCTCTTAAACTTCATTTTCAAAGACAGCATGGACAGAATACCAGAAGCTATTTCTGTCCTAACAGCATTTAGGTACTACAGAGATCATCAGTCTACATGAATGAATGAAGTGGGATTGCAGCTGGCCTCATATTATTAGTGGGAGATGTACATGATTACCCCTTGTGAAACTTCAAGACCATTGTGTATCTGGTAACAACACAGTCCCAGGACTATTTGACTGAGCTCATGACCTGCAGTGTCTTATTTTCCTTGGATAAAACCCTGACCCCAGTGGAGTCAAAGGGAAAAAACTGGATAAAATAAGGCCATAATTTCAGCTCTGCTATTTTGCTTAGCAAGATTTCACCAAACCCAGACCATGTTGCAATGAAATATTTGTCTACTGATACTATTAATATTCAGAATATGCGACTGGTGCAGTTTGGTGGATTTCAGACACTATCCTCCCCCAGCAGCATGCCAGCAGATTTCCTCTGAACTTTTACTTCATAACATTAAAAACTCTGTTAAAAGGTATGGGCATGTTGGATATACTATATAAACAGTGAATTCAATCTTACAGAAGACCCCTGTTACGGTTTACACCTCATCACCGTTTTAGCAGTTTCTGGATATAATGAATTTATGATAGATATATGTTCTAAGCACTTTCCTACAACAAACCTGTGTTTGAATTCTGCCAGTCATGGAATAAAAAAGTATACCATGAGACCTCAATAAAAGGTTGCAGTTTAGGTTGCAAGTAATTAACTATTCACAACCTAGTCTGACAATAAAATTATTAACAAAGAATTTGAGACTCATGAAGTCACAATGCTAGGGAATAACTCTGGAACAGAAAACAGACACTTCAGCAGGCTTCCTTCCTACAAAGGATTAAAAGGAAACCTAACGTATGCTCTGTTAGTACTCTTCTAGTTAGTTAGTTTCTTCTAGTTAGGCTCATATACTTGAACTAATCTATACACAGGGCACAATGAAGCATTATACAGAAATTAAACAGCCTCTTGTCCTATACAGCAAAAAGCCAACCTTTACAAAGGACATGCTAAGGCACTAGATGAACTTGCTACAGAAAAACTAAATAGCAGAAAAATGAAACTGGCATAGCAATGACATTTATTATAAAAGGAGCAAGTCAGAACTGTAACAACCTATTTGCATTATGCAAAGTCTAGGTTGAACTACCGCTAACTACAAACTGGTTTTATATCATATAGAGCCATTTCTGTACATGTCCCTTTCTAGGCTGTTGGATATAAATAATCCCCCTGCATTTAATTCAACTCCACTCAAAGCCCAGCAAAGGGCTGGGCAATACATTTGTGCAGTAGTTTTTGCAGATAGATCTAAGCCCCAATAAACACATCACAGTATTTCTCACAGATCCCCCAGTAGGTAAATACATGGCTAACCTCTGAGAAATTACCCTGAAGAGTGTGAATGAATGCTGGAATATTTACGTATTATATAGAGCAGAAGAGTCAGACACTCTACCCCAGATCTTTGCCCTAAAATGAATATATGGCTGTTTTGTAGCCAGTAAAATAATTTTTACCCATTTTACAATCACCAAAACAAAGATTCACAACTCTGATTCAGGGAGTTTGCATTACTGGGAAACAGCTGGATAATTAATTAGATGGTAACTTTTCAAAATTGGCTCACCCGGACCGCAAATACCATACTTGCATATTGTTTATATAAAAATGCAGAAGGTATACCCAAATGATTTTTCCCAGAGATAAGACTCCAGAGGACATAATTTCCATAGTCCTGCTATAAAGGATACAATTTGAAAGAGTACTTTGATGATTGTGAAATACAGGCCCATTATAGCATGTAAAGACCTAGATTTTTCAAAACAAATAGAAGGCATGGGTTTCAGTTACCAGGAGTCCTTTATCCTGTAAAAAGCCCCCCAAATGCTTGGTTCTTATGTCCGTGTTTTTTTGAAACTGACCACCTCAACCACAAAAAATGCTTGCGTATGTATTTATAACCTGTTTTATCTTTCTCACTGTCTTAAAACAAGATGAACATGTCATATTACTCTTTACAATTCTGTGATAACTTACATTGCTTTTTTCTACCTTCTGCATACAATGCAAACTAATTGCCAGAAAATGTGATAATTCCTAGGAAAAGGGTAGCTGCTGTAGGTATGTACTGTTTGTTCATTGTGAGTGTTATATTTTTAGCTCAAAACCTATGAAGATGTTTCCCAGAAATATTTTTAAATGTAATTTCCCTGTGTAGCTGTTTACATCGCTATTTGTAGAAAACCAGTTCTTGTCTGGCTGATTCAGACTTCTCATTTGGAAAAAACCCATGTATGTTTTAGAGAGTTCACATTTTAGCAAATGAAAATATACTGTAACCAAGCATTCAAAGTGCAAGGAAACAGTACCTGGAAGAAGGGTCCTAACACTCTTGTTCTTTATTTCTCCCAGGAACAGTTCCTTTGAGAGAGTCTTTATGGTGGAAGATTCAGTATTAAAACTGTAGTGATTCTCCCCTTTAAAGCCACCTTCCCAAAAAAGCTCCTGGATAACAAGCTAATAAGCAGAGATAAGATCAATCCCATAAACATGCAGGTCCATGATTAAGTTTCCCTGTTATTTGTTCAGAGGGTCGGGAATCATCTCTCTGACAAAATGTTTCCAAAACCAAACTCAGCAAACTGCTTATCTTTGCTGGAAGAAAGTGAAAAAAATGGCATGAGCTTGACTTTCCTGACTGGAAAAGCTTTTGTACTGCCTAGGATATTGCAATTTACTTTTGCATTAATTAACAGGTTGAGTGTTAAAATGTGTAAATTTGTACCTATCCTGAAAGTCTGACGGTATATTTGACATGTTTAGATTTGCCCTATAATCAGAGCTGTAAAAAATTATTAAGTCTAGACAAAACTCTACATACACACAAAGCATCTTCTGCCAAACACGATGACACTTACTCCTCTCTTGCAAGAGGATTTTTTAAAATAAGAACAAACCTCAAAATGATTCAAAATCAGCACTGAACCTACTTTAATGAGCAGACAAGGGATTTCTCCAGTTAAATTAAGAAATCTGGAGAAAAGAAGCCTCATGCTTGTTAGGGAGGGGCAATACTTTACATTTTACAGCAAGTCAAACATGCTTTGTTGGCTGTGATGGACGACTCTGCATTTCTTTCTGATGAGAAACTGTTTGGCTTTTAAATTTCTCCCTCTCCTAACACGTAGGCAGAAGACTTGGCAGTTCCAGCTACGCCCAGCTGTTGCTTCCCTGGCCTGCAGGAAGTCTGGAAAGTGTGGCACATCCTTTCTTTGTTAGAGCAGGACAAGGGCAGAGGATCACTGCCTTGGGAGTACCACCAAGGTGTTACTCCAGAGTTGTAGTTCGTATTCCCTGTAATCCCAATTGTTTCAATATACCAGGCTTCTCCATTCAGCTGCATCTCTCCCCTGCTGCATCATGGTCTCCTACCAGTCAGTGGAAGTGGTGGATCCTGGCACTGATATAAGGAGATGGAAGCCTACCTGAGAGCCTGGCTCAGAGAAGCAGTGGACTCTCACATTGCCCTGCTCCTGAAATACTGCAACATCATTTCAGAAAACGGATTCTGTTCTTTCTAGGACTTTCTTTGACCCCAAACTAATACAAGATACATGAGCATTTACTTGAAAACCCAGGAGAAAAGTGTTCAAACCATCCCTATTCAGCTGTCTGGAGAGCTGAAAGGTAGAAGAAATGTCCAATCCAATAATCCAGTAGAAATTCATGATTCAGAGCTTGGTCCCAAATCACTGCCACAGAAGTTGACACTTCATTCTCAGTGGCAGAAAAGTAGTAGAATTTGAAGTACTGATGAGTCAAGATAAAAAAAGTGGACATTTTCAGTGATAACCTCAGCAACTCTTGGCTACAAACTTCAAAAGCATATTCAAAGCATGCATTTACAGAGTTCAAAATCTAACTCAGTCAAGATTTCATCAGCGAGGTCTGAGAAATTCAACGCTTCCTAAAATAGGTATCCTAGATTAAGGATATTAAAACATTGGTCTTGAGACACAGTATTTTTTTTTTTTTTTTTTTTTTTTTTTTTTCCACACCAGCATTCTATTTGACAAGTAGAATCAAAGCCACAGCCCACGTTCCTCACCTTTGGTCTTGATGGCTGTTTCTAGGGCTGCAGCATCCCGGTCAGCATCAAAATTTGAGTAGGCCTTAACTGTGGCATATGCACTTGGTGGGAGAGAATGCTAGAAGAAAAACAATCTCAAAGTTAAATCATGTAGTCCTGTCCTCACTGCAGTTAATAAAACACATGCCTCTTGGTTAACTGGTATTTAGCCAAATTTTTAAATACAAGAACTACCATTGGGTATCTGTGAAAATGGAATTCCGCTAAGAGCCACCGAACTCTGTTCTCCTGATGTGTATTGTCCAGAAATCCACTCACAGCCATGCTTATTATAATAAAGAAGATATACAAGTAGATATTATATACTACTGCAGCAAAACCCTAACACATTCCAAGTTTACTTGCTAAACCTCAGTCTTCTAAACTCTGGAGTTTTCTGGTGAGATCTGAAAGAAATTGACTACAGAAAGCTAATTCAAAGAACGTTTAAGTATCTGCTGTGAAAGTCTGACATATTTGAGATTTGAAGCCAATACTTTACTTCAGATTACATTTTAGATTTGGGTAACATTTTAGAAGTTACTAGATTTTATCAGCTGTTTATTGTTGTCCTCTCCTGAGGATTATAGCTTCAAACAGGAAGTCACCAGAACAGAGATTCACCTCTCCTCAGCTGCTTCAGTGTAAGCTAACAGTTTAGCTTGCATCACCTCCCATAGGCAGGTTAAACTAAACCACAGGTTTTCATATAAATACATGAGAAATACTCACAAATCCCACCAGTTCAAAAATCCCATTCTAGTTCAATTTAGAAACCTAAATCTCTGGCAGAAAAGTGTAGTGACTAACAATTGAAATTGCCATAGCTGTTTCCTACGTGAATGAACGACTAAGCTTTCTTGGTAAAGATCACCAGAAACTTTTGTTTCAGTACATAACTCCAACAGAAAGCCAGGTTCATAAACAGGACTAAGCTATCTTAATATCCCTGGAGGATCTTTTTACATGCAAATTGTTAAAAGGAGGACAAATTTAAACTAAAAAATTCCACGGTTTTTGACTACATTTGACTCTATCCTGTAGAGGTCATACTGTCCTGAACAGATTCTTCTGGCAACAACCCCTGTGCCTTCTTCAGACAGTCCGTGTTATGCTGTGCAGATGGGAAATCAAAAAAGCACCAATAAACTGACCCATTCTTTCGTCTCTTACCACCAGCTCTATCTAGCAAAGTGGCCCCAGTTTGGCCCACAGCCACACCACAAAGCACAGCCTTTCCTGTTAGCAGATCAAATTGCTAACAGAAACAGTAAATGGAGATGTGCAATGCAGACTCAGAGAAATCTGTGTGCCTGAAAGATTCCTAAACCAAAGCCCATTAGTATACACAATCATGTGGCACTTCTATCTAATTAACCAGCACTACTGGATAATCTGAAGCAAGTCACCTGGTGAGCTTAGCAGAGTTGGGTACCCCTCCTTCCACCCAGCTCTGAGTATTTTCCGAGTCATTTGGACAGAGTATTTTACTGTGAGATGGTATCATACACTGAGAAAATACATAGCATATTTGCAATTTGGGAGCCATCTTTTCCTCTGTCCTTCCACCCAATGCATGCAACAAGTTGGATTCAGATCCCCTGACACTGATGAAAAGACCCAGGAAGCACCATGTACGTATCTATACCCAAGACAGACAGAAACCTTCTGCTGGCTACTCTACCAGTAAATGGACCACCTTCAAATTCAGCATCCACAAAGATTATGCTTTACTCTCTCAGGTGACTGTCTTCAGTACTTCAGTGGAACAGACACAAGTCTTTTCAGGGTGGTTATTCTGCCTATGAAAAACAACCACTTAAATTCCAGACTACATGGTCTCAAATTACTCTTGTACACTACTGTGCCACAGTACCTGTACTGTATGTTTTCAGACAAGAGTTTTTCCAACTGACTTTCCATTTAGTTAAATACAAAATTTTCCGGGATGTGGCAGTAAAAGTCCAGCTAGTGTGTAACTGCACAAGCAGTCTGGGCCAGACTAAAGCAGAGAAAGGTTTTTTTTTTTGCTCCTCCACATATCTATCATGCTTCAGAGGTCCTCCAACTGGTGTACTTTCTCCAAGCTTGATGAATTCAATCTTGAGGGAGAAGCATATATCACTAACAGGAAAGCTGAAGAGGCTTAATTTCTTCTAAAAAAAACCCCAGTGTTGTCTCACATGTTGTTGTGAGACAACACCAGGACCCTTTCAAGATATCTACATCTCAGTATTCCATGTCCTCAAAAAAATCATCAGTCACATTTGAAAACTGAGTAACTTGACACCATCTGGCAAGTACCCTATAAAGTCTTGACTAAAATATAGGCTTCCAATTCTCAGTGCAAAGGTGGAGCACATGATGAAGCATAACAGCAAGATCGTTGTTACAGAATCTTTCTATACTCTCTTGTGGACAGATGCAGAAACTGCAAGCATAAGTTAACTTCAGCTCAACTCCCTCCTTTCCTTAAAGAAAGGTGAAGATAATACCACGCTGAAGCAAGTGGGCCAGTTTGTCTTGAAACAAATCACTCACTATACCACTGATGCAGAACACAGAAATTCCTTATTGCACAAGACAGGACTTGGGTTCAGCTGCAACCATTCTATACCCTCATGGCTAAAAACTTTTTTTTGAGAAAAATGGGTGGTTGAAATACTGTGTTTAACATCAGGTAACTTACTGAATCATTGTTTAGGGGAACTGGGCAAATTCTTTATGCAAACTAGCTCCTCAATAATTCTGCCTTCCAACTTAGGATCTACAGAACAAAGTAGCTGCTTGATATTTCTTCCTCTCTATGGCAGGATTTCTGATGAAAATGCTGGCATGGAACAGTACTCAAATTTGACTTTTGCAACTACTCACAAGCATCATGGAAGAAACATTTCTGCCCTTGAGAACAGATTGCTCAAATATTATTCCAAAAGTAATTCTCCATTGAAACAAACACAGCCAAGAAATCTGAAGAGCTGACTGCTTTTGCAGTATAAAATCAGCTTTGCTACTTACCTACAGTGCACTAGCCAGTTCTTTGCAACAGCTCTTTCACAAAGATCATATGGTATAATTTATTTCGTAACAAGTAACAAAAACAGGCAAAAAGTTTGCTTGTACTGGGCTCAGATCCGGAGTTACCAGCTATAAAATGTACAAGTACAGCAAGTTTATAAGCAACATGGTGAAATAATGCATGGACAGGATTCACTTCCTCTTCAGTGACAATCGCAGAACCACAAATTCATGGCATGATATCCTGACACTACACTGGTAATCCTACCATCTAATGTTGCAACATAAGAAATTAAACAAAGGGAGTGTGGCTTTCCGGTATTTCAATAGAACTATCAAGCAAGTGCAGATGTGGTGGAAAATACACAATCAAAACCAAGATTCTCTACGCTTTTCAAAACAGAAAATGAGAAAAGAAGTTTGAGAAAATAAGTTTTTTCAAGAGGTAGTATGGTTTTGGTGACAACCATTACAGGAATAAGATCCCCAGTATTTTAATTCCCATTAAGTAATGTTCTCCATTTTTAATTGAAAAAAAGAAAAAGAAGAGAAAACTCAGTAGATATCAGCAAAACTGAACACATTTCCATCTTCTCTTATCATCCTTAAGTCACTTGTTGCTTTGGAAGAAAGAGGGACCACAGATGCAAACTAGCCATTCAGTTTGTCCTGCGATCTCGTTCATATGGCCCAACATACTGCTCATGCTGCTGGCCAGTTAGAAGAACTGTCATTAAATCTAGTCACCTCATATAATTGTCCTATTGTTTACAGCTGCTTTGCGGCTGAAAACTGATCACTGCTGACTAGGTTTTTAATCAATGTAAGTTTATGTAGAAGAGATGTGTAGAATCTTGTAAACTGTGCAGCTCAGTACAACTGTTGGTACAGAGTCCTGTAAAAGACACAAGATGTGGCATTTAAATAAAAAAACCAAACTTTCCTTGTTTAGATAATAATACTTACATCTCCTTCAAGGCTGAGCTTGCTTAAAATTTCATGGACAGTAGACATCTTGAAAGAATGCTGGAGGAAGAGAAAAAAAAAAAAAACACAAGCGGACTTAAATATATTTACAATTACCTCAGCATGTTATATAGTCCTGAAACACTGCACCACTGGAAGTGACATAGTCCAATGAATCTGCTAATCCCAAGCAAGAACGCAGATTTAAGCGTTTCCAAGCCACACCACCATTAATAATGCAACAGTGAGAGGTCTTCATTCTATTGTACAATAAAAATTTATCTTTACTCCTTGAAAAGCAACATTTCTTCTGCATTTTAAATACTTAAACTTAGGAACTGGAGAATCTCTACCTTAGAAACAGGCTACAGCTCAGTGCCAGGAAAATGGTGCAGAATCATTATAGCCTGGTCCAGCTCAAAACCAAAAAGCAGCAACAAGTAGTAGCATTTAAATCAGATGCTCAATTCCTCAAGTACTCATGGAATGCATTGAAACTATTTATATTAATGCAGACATTTTCTAAAATGATAATGCTGTTCAATCTTCAATCCTGGACACAGGCCACAAATGCCTCTAAAACCATATGGTTTTGTAGTGGCTCCCCAGTAATAAGAATCACAGGACAAGCTACAAACACCAGTTAGTAACATGATTGTCAGACGCTAGCTAACAAGGACTCTCTTGAAAATGATCGCTCCAAAAGTAAGAGCCATTGAGGCGAGATAACCAGTATCGTTGCTCCATTGCCAGAGCCTGCGTAACAACTTGCTAGCATATGTAAAGAAAAATAGGGAAAACCCCAACCCTGAGATAGATTATACACAATGCAGAAATGAACATTGACGTTACATGCTTATGTTATAATGCCTTGCTTTTTTCCAACTCTGGTTTCTGGTCAGGGAAGTTTGCCAGAGCTGTATTACTGTTTTACTGGAAGGGTCTCTCAACTAAGGAGGAAGTTTTTTCCAAAGAAATATTGCCTCTGGCTTATTATAAGAGGCTTGATCATTCGCAAAACTCTGCTCTCAAATGCCCCTACTGAAAGGACAGACATTGCCACTCACATTGCCTTCTAGTCATCCAGGTTGGCACCTGCAGCAAACATTATTTTGCCTGTTGAAATGAAAGCTTGTTTCTCAGGAACTCTACAATCAAGCTGTAGAGAGCATTATCAAACAGGGAAAAGAGTTGGCTTGACGAGAGGCAGGAGAAAAAGGACAGCAACAACTCAAGACATGCCACTAACTGATAACTGAGCCTGGAACCAAAATTTTCAGCCTCACTGGGTACCAATCCCTTCACTTCCACGCTGTCACCGGTTCCCCCACTCCAGCTTCCAGATACCATGCCCTCTGAGCCAACTCCCAGCTATTGTGCAGCCAGTCCTGGGTATGAACTTTCAACTGGTTTTCAGATTTTTTTTTTAATCCCCCATCAGTCATTCTTCTGATGGTATTGGGGCTTTCTCAGGCAAGCAGCGGTAGCCGCCCAGGCAAATTTCCCAGACAAACCAAACTCCTCTCCACTCAATGATCAATCTGAAACCAAGAGCTCAGAGAACCAGCACAAAGTTTGAAATAGTTTCTTAATAACGGAGATCTGGTTAGAACTCTAGAACAAGTGTTTATTTTTTGTTTTAGCTCTTGTAAACCTCCTGTACATCAAGAGAAAAGCAGAGAAATCCTTACTTTTAGCAGATATAGCAAGTGTTACGAGAATAAAATGCAGAAATGCAATTACATGCCTTCTGTAGCGTAACTGCTGTAATCGCACCTTTCCTCACTTACAATACAGAAAGTAAACCTTTCATCTTCCGAAGCAACCTAGGTATAAGTAATGAAAGCAACTTTACTTCAAGGAAAAATTAAGACCCTGGGGGAGGAAAAATAAGACAGAACAAAAAACACAGTCATGCATCAACTTATTTGAGAATAAATCTTTTTCAGAGCAAAAATCCAACCAGCCCTTTAAAGATAGGCTGCAGAAGTTGTAATAAGCAGCTACCTGCTACTGGCACTATTAACCATGCTGGTTAGAGGGGGACGATATATTACTGAGTTATGATATTCTTATGTTTACTCTTAATAAAATGAAGTACCTAACAATGGGTCCTTTGTAATCTGACAGTATTACAACCAAGACCAAAGATGAGCAACTTAAGTCCTTTAGTCTTGCTTGTCACAGAGAACTAAAAAACACCAGTGAAAGCTAAAGCAAAGCGACTGCAGTATAATCAAATAAAGTTTCACAAAACAATCACTGGACAGCTTTTTGCAAGACTCCTGTTTCTAAATCACTTAAAAAACCACATTGAGTCAGGCTTGTTGGAACAAAAAACTTGAACAGAGTCCGGGAACAGAAATAACACACCCTCACGTAAAGCTGGAACTGGGAGGTTCATATCATCAGCACACAACAATGCTATAGCAACCGACCGCCCATCAGCAGCAAGCTGGCAAAAGAAAAAAATGGGATTTTTTGCAAGAATCTTTGCAGAGAAAGTCCTTCACTCCGAGAACAAACACATCTCTTGTCACACCCTGCTTTGTTAGGCATTCATATCGGAGAACAGACTCTCACCGTTCTCCGATGGACTGATTTTATCTGATGTAGTTTTGACAAGTTTTGAGTGGGTTTTAACATGTAAATAGTAAATACTTGCACTAACTTGTTCTTCCTCACACTGGAAAAGAATCAACTTCTACCTTCCAGCTGTAAACTAATACTTGAATACCTTAAGGCAAGTTTCTACAACCAGTTTTCCTCCTAAATCCACATTACGTAATCCCGAATCATAATCTTATTCGACTAAAAGAGATAGCATCTGTTTTGACCTCGACCCCCACAGTAATCACTGATTTGCAAATCTGTCCTTATATTGGGCCTAGTCTATACTCAGGACCTTACCCCGTAACTGTTTGGTGACAGAAGAGTGTGTGTTTAAAAGTAGCCCCATATCTCGATTCCCAGGGGCAGCTCACCTACATTACAGCAGAAAAAACCCCACGTGATCCATGGAAAAAAAGTGTCAGGTATGCACAAACAACTACATTGCTCAATAAGCAGAGTTAGCATTTTAAGAAGCACTTCTTATACTCTTGTGGACAGAGATTGAGCAAAGGGTGTTCCCAGACATCTGAGCCAAGGAAACGGCATCCCCAGAATGAGAGAATGGAAACTCTTTCACTTGGAGCACATTTGTGTCAGGTCTCCAAAAACTAGGGCAAGGGCTGGCAGCAGAGGAGATGAGGGAGAGTGAGGAAGATCTGCAATATCTGATGTAAATGAAATAAGGACTCAAAATCATTCATTTATATACAGTGCTAACTGCAAGTACAAATAAGCCAGGCTGTATCTCCCCAAATCACCCGATAAGGTTTAACAGATCATTGAAAGCCACTACTGGGAAAAAAAAAAAAATCAGCTTTAAAGAACAGGATTTCAAAACCCATTAAACCATGCTGCCACAAACGTACTTTAACCATTCTCTTCCACAGACACTGCTAATAACCTAGGAGATGTTCCATTTCAGGAAGATACTACCCACATACAAAATTAGGGACTTTTATTTCTTCAAATTCAAGTTATTCTTACTTCTGAGACTTTACAGGAAAACCTCTTTTTTTTTTTTTTTTTTTAAATCAAGGCAAACCATTCTATACATTAGCCAATAGAACCTATACTCGCTAGGGCTGCTTATCACAACTAGCTCCACCAACAGAAGGCACACATAGGGATGGATCACTCAAAGGCACAGAGATTCCAAAAGATTGTTTCACTGTTGACCTGTGTGTTGGGGTCTGCACATCTCTGTGCGGATACAGCATTTGAATATGAACATAAGAACAACTAACATTAAACAAAATTAAAGCTGCCACGCGTAAGAACACAACTCAAGTCTGCATGACTATCCTGACATCACGTTACTTTCCTTCCAGTTGGAACACACGGCAACATTCCTTTGCCCTACCTCCCCTCCTCACTCGAGGAGGAGGAAGCGGTGTCCAAGCGGACTCACAGTCCAGAAGGCAGCAGCAGGATCCCAGCAATTCCGCTCATGGCCGGGGCAGGGTGGGAGAGCCGTGCCAAAGCCTGGCTCCGCGAGCAAGGAACCGCACAGGGCTCCCCGGCACGCCGCGGGGGAGAGCAAAGGCAGCCCTCGGGGGAGCATCAGCTACCCGAACGCTGCCCGCACAAGGGCTTCTCCTCT